CCCCCCCTTTTGTATATGTGTGTGTGTATACATCATATTTTCTTTAATAAGAACACAAGATAAACCACCAAGTTAATCCTTGTATTAAAATCATGGAGATGGTAAAAGTTGGTTCTTTTCTGGTTAAATGACCTTCTACCAATTTTTTTTTAAATGCATGACCTTCTAACAGATTTGAGAATGCCATTGCTTAGCATAAGAATGCCACTTTCGTACACAAGAATTCCTATAAACATTCAGAACGCCATTCAGATAAATAACCCGTTCTTTTCCCCTTTTGAGCCTAACATGTAACTTACATACCTGTGTTCTTTTCCGAAGATATGAAATCAATTTGTTTCATTGAGGAAGCAAACGTCTCCACCATGAAGATAAACGACGAATTCCTTGAGGTGCAGGAGGGATGAGGATCTCCATCATGGTTTCCTTTTCTTTAGGGGTTAATGGGACTCCTCTAGTAAGGTTCAAAGCCAGTAAGTGCACATTAGTTCTTTGCCTGTGCCTGCTGTATGCCCATATGCCTCCACCAACCCCAGCTATAAGAAGCTGTCCAACAAATATTAGATAATCTCCAAGTATTAAAAGAAAAGATATTGGATAATGGTGCTCGTGAAACTACTCACAGGTGACAGCCAGAAACCTGCAGTCTGCCAATCAAACTTTGGAGCATACAGTATTGTTTCCCCATAATCCTCTTCAAGCTTATTATAGATATCTTTGTCACTTTTCCCAGATCGGATTTCATCACGAATAAGCTACAATATAAACCAGGTATAATGAGTCTCAGCCCATGCAGATGTATGTGGCAGGCTGTAGATGGGCATATAACAAGAAAATAACCAAGAAAAGGCATAAAACCAAACCAACCCCACCCCAATATATCCTACCTGAAGGTAAGAGTTATACACCTTACCTTTAGAAAAACTCAATGATGATATGGCTTTCTTCGCATTAGTGAGTCATTACATGGCCCAAAGGGAAGAAACCATTAAGTTTCAAACGGGTTTAAGGTCAAACATAAGGCTGATGGCACCATTAAAACGTAAAAGGCTAGGTTGGTCGTTAAAGGGTGCAGACAAAAGGCTAGTGTTGATCTTACATAAACTTTTTATCTGGTGGTCACTTATTGCAATTTGCAATAAGGTCAAATCTAATTGGCCCATGTTCTAATTTGCAATAATGGTTAAATCTTTATATGGCTTCAAACAAGCTTCACGAGAATGACATACCAAATTACATGACAGTATAAAGTCTAAAAGTTATCAAGGAGTCCAAAAATGATTACTCATTATTTCACAAGAGTATGGGTTCATCTCTTGTGTTTGTAGCCGTTTATGTTGATGACATGCTATCACAGATAATTCTACACCGATAGTGGAACAACCTTAAATCCGGTTGTCTTGGTTTGCATGCCATCTCATATGAAACTTGTTTGAGCTTTATTAATCAATTTCCAAGCATCCATGTTTTGAATGTTGTCAACTAATCTTTTCAATGTTAGATAAACAGTCGAGTTGGATGTACACTTTACATTGATGTGGAACCACCATATTACTCTCCAAAAGAGCCCTTGAGCAGAATGGGGAGGTTCAGAAATGGTCAAAGTCTAGCCGATGTGGGACTCCAACATGGCCCCTCCAACCGGGGCTAGATGGACAAAATTGTCCCAAGATGTCGAGAGGGGGCTAGCTAGAGTGTCGAGTCCCTAGAGTGGCAAACCTTAGCTCTGGTACCATGTGAGAATATGTGGAACCACTATATTACTCTTCAAAAGATCCTTGAGAAGAAAGTGGGGAGGTTCCAACATATATTTCAGGAAACATGATCCAAGTCTAGCTGATATGGGACTCCAACATTCAAAAGATTAAATAACGGAATCTCTTTCTCCATCTCTCAAATATCATGAATATAACATACCTCTAGAGTGTATTTGTTATGAGGGACGAGACAATACGAAACATAACAAAAACTTGTTCCACAGTTTGCACGATATTAGACCGGAGATGACTAGACAGACCTAGTGAGACAAAAATGCATTTTGTTGTCCCACAAAAAATAGGTAGAATGAAAATTAGGGAGATGGGACAAGATTGACAAATTAGTAAACTACACATATTAAATTAATACCCCACAACCTTCGACAATTCTTTCATCAGCTTACCTCACTCCTACACGTCCAGTTACCAAATGCACTCTTACAGTCCAAATAAGTTGTGAATAATTTAGAACACTTTTTTTATGTATAATTAATGGTGGTACAGAATGAAAGTGAACTTGGAATAACAGATATTAATAGAGTCACCTTCCTGAGGAGAATAGCAATATCAGCTTGCGATTCTTCAATGGACTGACCACCACACTCCAAGCAGCGGACATTGTGACTAATGTTTCTTGCCCGTGCATCTACAATCTGCTGCCTCTTGAACGGGTCCTCTTCGTTTTCCATTCTCTATAAATGGTTCAGTTCAGCTGAATTCTTAAAGCTATAAAAAAAATTAAAAAACCCACAAGGTAAGTACAAGTTTCAGTTGGGCATTTCGTCGAACAGTTGCGTTGCAATGAATTTCCTTTCCACAAAACAACAAATCCGTAAGTCGGGTCCTGATTTGTAATAGCTAATAGCTTTTCGCAGTACATTTACCAGAAAAATATACGATATATATACACTAACTGTCAAATTTTCTTTTTATCACAATCTGAAACAGTAAAGATCATCGGACAAGGAGAAATATTCCAATGTATTCCAACAGCAAGTAAACTTCGTAAGATTTAATAAAACAAATATTTCCAAAAGTAACAACCAAAACGAAAACGAGATTTACAATTCGAAGTATCCAATACAATCTGATGTAAAAACAAACACAAAATTGAAACAAACACAAAATTGAAGCAAACCTCCTTCACGGCAGCTCCGTCTCTCTGTGTCGCTTCTGCTCCGTCTTTCTCCTTCACAGTTTTATCGATGGAGATGGGGAGAGGGGTTTGTTGCAGCCGGAATAAAGGTGACCGACGACGATAAAAGGGGGAGGGGGTGTTTCACTTGGAGTTGGAGGGGGTTAGCCGGTGTTTAAAATGGCTTATTTTAAACATTTATATTTTTTTATAAAATTTTTTATCAACTTATTATATTTAAAAAAAAAATATTACCGATTTGATATTGATATAAGTTCTTTATCCATACACTTAAAAATACTTATTATCAATGTTACATCAGAATAAATCAATAAATTATTTTTATAAACAATCCCAAACATCTCCTTAGGTTATATTTTTGTTCTCTAGTTTTTAGAGTGAATTACTAAATAAGTTAAATATATTTTGGTTAATTTGTTGTTATTTTACAATAATTATATGATATAAAATAACATTGAATAACATTTAAGTGTAATATGGTTATTTTAACAATTTTGTCCTGTTTTGTTTTAGTCGTACCAAACATAGGACAGACAATTAGCCATGTCTTAGTCGTACCAAACATATGACAGACAAGTAGTCCGTCCCATCCAGTCTGCATACAAAAACTACCTAACTGATGACACTAATTTCAAGAACGTTTATGAAATTGAAAAATTAAGAATCATCGTAGATAGTTTATTTTAGATACCAAATTAAACACCGGTGTAATTCACTCTAGTTTGTATGATTTAATATAAAAAGACGAAAACACCCTTCACTTAAACGACAATAACTAACGGCCATGTACCAAAACCGCAATTAAATCAAAACCTTAAGAAGTTTTCTTGTAAGTTTGAAAAGTTAAGTTGCTAAATTGAAAATCAAACACCTACCAGATCTAAGTCCAAGATCGTGGGGGCACGTGTCACTCTGCTGCTTCTCCTCATCCTCATGTTAACTTCCATCAACAACCCACCAAGTCCCCTCTTTCGTAATCTGTACGGACGTTAAATTAATTTCTGTTCATATCCCACGGCGCACGTTAACATCTGTCCATCTTTTCCTTTTCCCTTTTCTTCCCCAGTCCCTACCTGAACCAACCAACAGGGCCGGCCCTGAGATTTTGAATGCCCATGGCGGAAAGCCAAAAAAATGCCCCTTATATGTGTGTATAAAAACAAAAATAGACTATTTGAAGGGGTTTGAAACCTAGTCAATCTAGCCGGCTCATCCCCATGCCGATTTCTTTTCCTATTTTGAGCACCAAATGGTTGTGATCGAGGAAACATACTCAAGTAGTTAAATTGTTAAACAAATGATACGATATAAAGAATAGAAAAATAACATCTAAACTTGGACGTTCGTGGTTTTGTTGTGAAATTGCCAAGAAAGTGGATAGATTAAGCAACTTGGACAAATTGATAAAGAAGAAAACATRAGCATCAATCTTAAGCCTTTGTCCTATATTAACCYRCTTCAAAACAGCTCCTAAAAAGCTTCTAAACAGCCCTCAAAACAATGCCCGAACAGCCAGAAAAGGACCAACTATATAATTGAACATCCTTTCTTCTAAACARCCTTCTAATATCTAAACAACCWTCTAAACAGCCTAAAAAGTAAAAAAWTTAGAGCTTTTTAGGGCAACTGAAGCTGTTATAACGTTGTAGTTAAAATAGTGGGTCTTCTTAACTGAATGGCTTTCTTTAAAGCTTATTTGCTGCAATATTTGTGGCAATGGAGTCCCAGATCTAATGAATTTACCTTAGGGGCCATCATGGTGAACATGAGCCCCTCCTTTAGAATATTTCGTTGTTTATGTTGAATAGCTCATGCTTGTGATCAAATGATGGTGAAGCACTTAAGCTTCATTGTAAATACCATAACCAATTCCCTGTGAAAAGGTAATTGTGGCCTAGAATCACTCATCCTGTCATCCATCCTCATGCATCAAACTGGTTAAGTGCTTCACCATCATTTGATCACAAGCATGAGCTATTCAGTTATTCAGTTATCAAGGGGGTAGGTCCTGGTGGGGAAGTTATAGATACTTTTCACCAAGTTCGGGATGGATTGGTGTGGTTCCTCTACGCCTAGGACACCAGAATATCCTCCTAACTGTTATTCTGTATTTTTGTTAGAACTTAGAAGGCTGTTTAGAAATTGCAAAACAGCCCCAAAAACAGCCTCAAAAATCAAAACAAAAGTAAAGTGGATGTGGAAATATTCAAACATAAAGTGATCAAAATCAATAATCTCTATTCACATTTTGTAATGTTGTTTAAATTACAGMAACCCTAAGTAGGCAATTAGGCATACATATACAGTATTACATTTACATGATTACATCTTTAAATCTTAAAAGAAAACCTAAGTATGGAGGACAACATCATCTAGATTATGAATGAATCAAACAAGAAATCAAGAATTAGAAACATAAAAAATAAAATAAGTAAAGTAAATATTAATAACCCTAACAGAGTAACAGTAACCGGCTAACCTCACAAGTCAATAGTCGAGAGAGAATCGAGACTCGAGAGAGCGAGAGGCGAGAGCGAGAGCGAGAGCAAGAGCGAATCGGTACAAAGGAAAATATGTTCGTTAGTTCGACAGTTCCGTGAGCAAGAGCGAGAGCGAGAGCGAGAGCGAGAGATAATCGGTACTATGGAGGGCGAAAGTCACAGTTCCTGAGCGAGCGAGAGTCAAGCTGTTGAGGACGAAAGAGAGAGCGGCCGATGGAGTATTGTGGACTTGTGGTAAGCGTAATTTTTTTTTTGGCCCAAAACTGAAGCTATATATGTATATTGGGCTTCATAAACTTGCTGCCCTTAGAATTTTTGCTGCCCTGGGCCATCGCCCCTTGGGCCTATGGCCAGGGCCGGCCCTGCCAACCAACCTCATTTTTCTCTTTACTTACCTTTTACTTCTCAGTTCTGACAGATCCACTGTCACTGCCGGTTTTCCACCGACTCTGCCGCCGGAAATTCTTCTGTTCATTAAGGTAATCAGTCATATTTGGTTTCTGTTATCTATCTCTCTTTTTGAATACGTTTTTTTGCATCCACATTTGCATGAACAAGTACGATTTGGGTTTTACGTATTTCATCTGTTGTCGGTGATCTCCCCTGCCGTGTAATCTCACTCTGTCAAGTGAATCTACCGAATCTTACAGATTTACTTCACAAAATTAGTAACTACATAGCTAGATTAGCTTAGTGATAAACACACACACACTGAACCTCACCTGTCTTTTATTTATTTTGATGATGGTGTGAGATTTATCTTATTGATTTTGATTATTTTTTGGCATTTTGTGTGAGTATATTGATGTGGAATCTTCTTGTTTCTGATTCACATTGTTGAATTGTGATACTGTTGGGGTTGGGCATCCTTTTTTTTCTTATTTGTTGAATTGTTTTTGTTATTGGTGAGGTCTTTTGATGAATGATTTCGAATTATTGATCATTATGGTAGTCTGGGTGGCAGGTTCAGTTACGAATTTCTCTGCTGCATCTGAATATGAGAGGGCGCCAAAGGGATAATATCCACACCCCATACAAGCGTGCTTCTTCTAGAGATCGTCTGAATGCCCAAGACAGAGAAGATGGTTTAGGAGGTAATTCTAGTTTGTTTTTGGAGTAATAGAAAAGAAATCCAGGCAACTTTTGGATGTTGCTGCTGCTTGGTGTTTATTGTTTATTTGACATGTGACTAAGTGGAGGACAGTAGAAAATTTATCACGTTTAAATGGAAATTTCTTGGACCAAGTTGAGAAAATCGCAGAGGTGATTCCACACTCTTGCCAACTAGAATGATGTCTAAATACATCTAAGTGAATCCCAGATGAAAAACTAAATCAAAGACTTAACATTGGTGAAGTCACTTTTTCTAAAAGAAGATACAGCTGAATATTGGACAAATTTTGTTGGAAGGATGAAACTAATATATACAATGCTGTATCTTTAACTAACTGTCGAGAAGAGTACATCTGTAGATATCTTGCAGTTGGTTCTAGGAGTAACTCCATCAATGTAAGGCAGCAAGAGATGATACTTTTCCAGATTGATATATATAGAATGAACCATTTTGTGGTTGGTAATTTGCTTCAAGCACTCTTTTTTATGTGCTTGCCAAAGTGGGTGCAAACGATAAAACACAATTATTTATCAGACTTAGATAACTTAATAAAGACTGTACAAATATTCAAGAGATATTGATGAATGAGCTTAAAATCTTCCAGAATATGAGTGCATAATTTTTTGTCACCTCCATGACTCCTTTTATTTTCTAGGAATTAGTAATTTATTTATATGGATGCATAATAATAAACTGTTTATTTGTAGGGAATCCAAATCCTGTGCAGAATAATACTGGAAAAGGATATGGAAATCCGCCTTGGATTCGTTCGTTGCCACATGTCATTGTGGCAGCTTTTTCGTCGTTCTTATTTGGCTATCACCTTGGGTATATCAAACTCGGGCTATTCTAATTCCTTTATATTGTTGAAAGGCGATAAATTAAGTTTATTATTTCATCAAATGTCAATCTTGAATCCAGGGTGGTGAATGACACACTTGAAAGCATTTCTTTGGACCTTAGCTTTCATGGGGATACAATGGCCGAAGGTACGTTTCACAATGGACTTTACCTGTATCATATGCCAGTTACTTTGTTTCCTAATTACTTATCCATTATTTTATAAAATGAAGGATTGGTGGTAAGTACATGTTTAGGAGGTGCTTTTATTGGATCTACGGTAAGTGGCTGGATCGCCGATGGGATTGGACGTCGAAGGGCATTCCAATTGTGTGCCATACCACTGATAATTGGTGCTTCAATGAGGTGCAGATATTATTCACGCTATTAAGCTGTTTAATTGCATTCAAGTATCCTTCAATTTATTTTCAAGTAATTGCTTCTTCAAGACTGGAGTGCCTCATCACTTTCAAAGCAAAAATTATTTGGTTTTCTTGGGGTTTGGACTATGATAAATAGCAAGCTTAGGCTAGAATTTTCTCATAACAGCTCATTAGTTTGCCTGTAATTTCCAAAGTGGGACATTTTTAAGGGATACTATAATGCTGTAAGCTATAAATGGTGGTAGATTCATGCTGATATCGATATGAATGTGGTGGCTGGTATAAGCTCATTTTGGGAATTGCTGCTGTGTGTGACAATGCACCTCGTTTTTCATTTTCAGTCCATTCATTTGATTGGACCTGGTAAAGAAAATTCCACATCAAGTCAATAGATTTCCAGTGAAGTGGTAAATTAGATCCTGAGGTTATATCATATGATAATTTTACTTGTTTGATGCTGGAAATGCTACTTAGCAACCCACAACTTTGTTAGAATGGTTTCACAAAATATGTGCAATCATAGAGTGGCTTCCTCTTGTAGGTGCCTAATAATATCCAAATTATAACTTGTAGTGCCACAGCAAATGGTCTTGGAGGAATGCTTTTTGGAAGGTTTCTTGTTGGAACCGGGATGGGCGTTACCCCACCTGTTGCAGCTCTGTACATTACAGAGGTACAGACCTTGATTGAATTTCTTTGATATTGTCATATGCTACTCACTTTACCTTTGTAATCTCGATCTACATTATCTTTTTTCTGACCTGTTATCATTAAAAGCTAGGTTTCACCAGCTTTTGTGCGAGGCACTTACGGGAGCTTCACTCAGATTGCAACATGTCTTGGACTTATAGCTTCTTTCTTCATTGGGATCCCGGCGAAGGATGTTCCTCGTTGGTAGGGAGCATGATACATACTTGTGTTGCAAGTTGTTGATTACTTATACAACCACTTTGATTGGTTTATCCATAGTTGAAATGTGACCTGCTCAACTGTATCTGTAATTATGTTCCCTTGATTATTGGATTAGGTGGCGTGTTTGCTTCTGGGTATCTACTGTTCCAGCAGCTTTGCTTGCTCTTCTGATGGAGTTCTGTGCAGAAAGTCCTCATTGGCTTTTAAAGGTAAGGATTACTCATTTCTCCGCTTTCCTTGTCCGCATATACATTTTTGGGTGCATATTTATCCATATCCATTTGAAGCATCATGTTACATATATATTGAAGTGGAAAATATTGTACCTTTCTTTGTCTCATTTGTTTCCTTAAATAGGGTTTACTTTATTTTGTCGTTCTCAGCTCACCAGTGCATCTTGTACTCTGTTTTATCAGGGGTTCCCCTCAGTGGTAGAACATCCCTTTTAACCTTAAAACAGTTTCATGGTATCTTTGGTAACTCTAATCTATATCTTAATGCTACTACAAAAGCTTAGATGCCAACAACACCTGTTGCAATCAACGACTGCCTTTTCTGGTCACCCATAGCAATTTACTGCCTCTCCACAACGTTTGTTGTGTTGCCTAACTTAGCTGAAGCGAACTTCTCTTTGCCATGCCTAGTTGCAAGACTTGGTTTTAGTGTAGTGAGGCATCCCTTGCATTGTCGTATGCCATGACTGAACTCATCAGAAAGAAACCAAGGATTTCTTGGTGTAACACTAGTACGGTATATTTTTTTTTACATATAATTCCTATCAAGTTGAATGATCGAACTGGGTTCAGTGGTCTACATTTATTCACCAGACCGTGAGTGTTCTGGAATCCCCTAATTGGAAAGGTGACGGTGGTATCCACATGTTTTTGGAATTCTACTGGATCAGTAGTCTACATACATTCAAACTAGACCCGTAAATGTTTGGATGCCCTAACTGGAATGCTGATGGTTGTTGGTTGTACCTGTTTCTTGTTGTGGAATGCTATGGAACATGATGTGTTGTTCATATTCCGGGTACCCTTAAACTTCTTGACCACGAAGAAGCTCTGTGACAACCTGCATTTTTCTTTTTCTTTTTTGCTAAGGCCTCCTCTTCACTTGCGTACTCTCTTTCATATGTGTATTCCATATGTAAACACGAGATATCCAATTTCAGTGAGTATTTTACAAGGTTTAAGGAAGATGTATGATGAAGTGCAAAGCCTCTCTCAAATTATTGCTCGTCCTACTATATAAGAGGAGCGTGAGTCTTTGCTTGCCACCCTCACATTTGTAGGAGATCTATGCACCACATATTCTTGGCCTGACCAGCTTCGCTTAGCCACTTTGCTATTTTATTGCCGTTTTCAATCGATAGTATTTTATGAGGGTCATGAAGATGTATGGAAAACTACAAAACCTCTTTTGATGCATTCTGAATAGTAACATGTTGATTTATGTTGCCTCTTTCTTTTGGAGAAGTGTTGGTCTCCTAATCTTCGACCATATGGCTGCCTAGGAGTAGAGATGCACAAAGGACCAAGGAATGAATCCGGACCAAGGAGCGAACCAGAAAGGACCAGGACCGATAGGACCATTTAAGGACCCGGCTGTTTCTTTGGGCCCAGATCAGTCCTGATTTTCATACCAAGGACTGGATCGGTCAAAGCCTGGTCGAAGATCGATTTGTGAAAGTCTGAACTTCCAAACTTTGTTTGGGGAAGCAACAGTGGCCTTAAAAAAAGGTCCAGTCCAAGACCGATGAAAACCATCGGATCAAGATCAGTTCTATATTCAGACAAAAGGACAGGTTAAGAACTGGACCACTCCTTGGAAGAACCCATTTTTTTGGCTTGTTAGGACTGGACCAAGGACCGGTTTGGTTGGATCCTTTTGCATCTCTACCTAGGAGTAATAATGAATTAATGATTATAAAATATTCTGGCATTCTACAAATATTGATACAGATTATCTTCATCTTAGTGGTGTATGTTGATAAATGAAATTGACCATCAGGGTAGTCTGGATCTAAAGAGCTTCATTAGAATCTCTGTTCACTCCTATTGGAGAACCTCAATTCTTTTTTGGGGATAAAGGTGTCGGTCTGCAATACTGTTATCTAAAAGATGTGAACCCCCATATGATTGAAATGTGCATGACATTATTTGTGGCATAAAACCCGAACACAAAATGGTACAAGGTGTTTCTCGTAACTTCATAACATACAAGATAACTAATTGATAGTGACACTTTCTGTGTCATTTCTTTTATAAGTTCATATAGATCGTAATTGTGCTTATCACTTATCAGAGTATCCCTGTGATATTATAGCTTCAGAAAGATTACTCTGAGCTTGTACTACCAGTGAATGCTTCAATATGAAATCAATAAATAGAACCTCAATGTGCCTTGATCTTGATATTCAGCTGTTGCTTAACTGCTATGGGTTCATTTTTGTGCATGATCTTTTTGTAGGTTATTACTTATAATATCTTCTTGTTCTTTGACATAATTCAGAGGGGAAGAAGTGCTGAAGCTGAAGCAGAATTCGGGAAGCTTCTAGGAGGGTTACATGTCAAATCTTCGATGGCAGAATTCTCCAAGTCAGACAGAGCGGATGAAGTAGAATCAGTAAAGCTTTCGGAGTTGTTGTATGGCCGTCATTTCAGAGGTATATCACCACATTTGCTACACCTTTTTTTTCCCACGTGTTGGTAGATGTTTCCTCTTAATTAAGAAGCTTTATTACTTACCATGCTCCAGTGGTTTTCATTGGGTCTGCTCTGCTTGCTTTGCAACAACTATCTGGCATAAATGCTGTTTTCTATTTCTCTTCAACCGTCTTCAAGAGCGGTGGAGTACCTTCAGATATTGCAAACATGTCCGTTGGAGTAGTGAACTTATCAGGTTATATGTCATTAAGTCATATTATGTGCTTTGCGAAGCCGTTGCTCAACGTTTTTATTTATATATTTTTTTAATCTTTTTCAGGTTCAATTGTTGCAATGGTTTTGATGGATAAACTGGGAAGGAAGGGTCTGCTTCTTGGAAGTTTTATGGGCATGGTATGTAAACTATCTAACTTTTCGTTCCATTATTACATGTTTAAGATGTTGATAAACAGATACTCAGAGCTCCAGCTCAATTTTTGACCCATAGTCTTAGCTTTGTAATTATATTGCTTCTATATTGGCATTTGCTACCAAAGGGTCATTGGCCCAGTGGTATCCGGGTTGCCGGTAGATACCAACCTTCTTGGAGGTCAAGGGTTTAAGCCTCGCTTAGGGTGAGGAGTGTGAGTTTTGTCGATATATATATATATATATATATATATATATATATATATATATATAGGGGCCTAATCAAATGAGAACTAATTAGTTTGTGGTAACTGTGAGAACCAATATTAACCACAAATCAATAGATAAATTAGGAAATTTATAATTTTGGCAATTTTG